TTAAAAATGATTAAATGCTTGGAATTTGAGACTGGATGCTTATTAGATATTTCCACATTTATTTACCAGGTGGTGTTAAATCGTATATTATACCCTCTGTTGCTTGGACCTTATTTGCAAGAGCTGCCTTTATGCCCTTGAGTTCTAAAAATGATATATTTTCTTCCTGTAGATGAGCCACTTTATTAAAATTTATTTTAAGAAAGAAGTCAAAGGTTGAATATAGAAAAATTTGCAGTGATTACAGTGAATCTTTTTTGTTATTGTTTTTAATGACATCCTCCTAGAAGACATGGTGCATTTTATAGATTGTCAAAAATTACTATTTCCAGATTTATTTAGTGTTAGAAATTTTCATTAGCTAGCCAAAATTTAGGAAAAGATTATATTTTCCTTCTGTTGTTAAAAATGGCAAAAAAAATGGCATACATGCAATGTATACATGTGCTTAGAAACTGTACTTATTTATACCCTTCATGTTAGGAATTTATAAATAACTAGTCAGCTGAAAATTAGGGCAACTAAAACTCTTGATTCTTGTGATTAAAATTAGAATTAGAGAAGAAGACATGTTAACATTGTAAATTCTATAAACTTGGTGTATAAATTGTACCTATGGCTTAATGATTTTGTTTCATTTGTATTTTATTAAGAGTTATAGAGTATATGTGTTTCCATATATACTTATTCTTTACTAAAATATCTAAACATGTTTTCTTTTAACCTTGTGGTTCTCATACATCAGAATCATATGCAGATTGCTGGTTGGTTATTTGCCTCCACAATTCCTAAGTCTGTTGATTTGGGATGGGACCTGAGCATGCATTTCTAACAAGTTCCCAGCTGATGCTGGTGCTACTGGTTCTAAGGACCATATTTTGAGAATCAGTGCCTTAACTATTCTGATTCATCTGTGTGTCTTTACAAATATAAAATAAAGTAAGATCAGTTTTTTAAAGTTTGAAGTGTTTAGAATATATTTAGTATTCATTGTTTTGTGACAGTAATTGTGTTCCCTTCGAGTCGCTATTAAAAACCGATCTAAAGATGTCACAGTTGGTTAAGTGTCTGGTTTCTTCTCAGATCATGATCTCAGGGTCCTGGGATCAAGCCTTGCTCTGGGCTTCCTGCTCAACAGGGAATCTGCTTCTCTCTTCTGCTTCCTCTCCTCTGCCCCTCCCTTCTGCTCATGCTTTCTCCCCCTTAAATAAATGAATGTTCTCTCTCTCTTAAATGAATGAGTGAGTGAGTGAGCGAATGAATGAATGAATGAATAAATAAACTCTTTTAAAAAATAAAAATCTATTTTAGGGGCACCTTGGTGTCTAGCGGGCTAAGCATCTGTCTTGATTTTGGCTGTGGTCATGATACGTATCCGCGTCTGCAGTGGGTCCTGGAGATTCCTTTACTCTGCCCTTTCCCCCACTCCCTCTCTAAATTAATTAATTAATTAATTAGATAAAACCCACCTATTTTTCAAAAATCCTATTCTTCTGCTTTGTCTCATTCGTACTTAATTTTTATGCTTAACATTTAAGAAAATTGTAGATTTTTAACAGTGAATCCACATAATATTACCAAAACATACAGTTGTTAATAGCAGCTATACCTTTACTGATAAATCTTTGTCTCTGGGGCAAGTGGGGGAAAATCATTCCAGGAACTATGTCCAGGACTGAGAATATGAACAACTAAATTCCTTTCTTTTCTTGGCTTAGTGGTACCTTTTCATTCTCATTAGAATGAAAACTTGAAGCAGAGCAGTTGGTGAGAATTTACTTTGCTTCTGTAGCTAATTGCTTTCTCTTTCCCTATCTTCAATAGCAGTTTACAGTTTTACTAACAGTATCCTGATTAAGGTATTTTCAGATTTTTGTCAGTCATAACAGCTCACATTTGGTATTTTTTTCCCCTAGTGTTCCCACACTTAACTGAATTTGAAAACATAAGGCTCCCACTTCATTCATAAATGAATGTACATAATTGTATTTTATTTTCATCATTTGGTCCTCCTAAAGCTTAGATATTCTTTCCCATGAAGCAAGGTAACAGTGTGAAAATCTGATAGTCTTATACTTCTTACAATTGCATTCCTCTTCTTGCTGACCCTTTCCTGTTTTAGCCCCCAAATTCGTTTTTCTCAAGATTAGTTTCTAGTATTTCCAGTTCATAAAAATGAACATTTTCAACATCTTGAGAAGCTATGAATTCTAGAAATCTATATAATTTTATTTTAAGAAATTCTGTTAAGTCTCCTTGCCTCCATTTTACTTAAGAACATAGCCCTATAACACTTTTTTCTATCTTAAAGTATTTTGTGCAATGTGATTATTAAAAGAAATAAAATTATATGGTTGATATAAATTATGGTAATTGCTTTTAACATTAATTTGAACTTGTAGTCAGATGACTAGTGCATAAAAATTTACATTCAGAAAATGTAAATATGAGCAATTACTTTTCATTTTATGGTGTTTGTCTCTTTTTAAACAAAATGTAATGGAAGAAGAAATATTTATCCCTTGTATACTTCTTGCAAATATTCTGTAACATTGAAAAGCATAAAACAAAAGATATTTTTGATCCCATATAACAGTCATATTTATTTATCTTACCGTCTGGAGAAGATGGATAATTGTCAATATATTTTTTCTTTATTTTTAAAAAGGTTTATTGATTGATTTTAGAGAGAGAGAGAATGCATGCATGGGTTGGGGGGAGGGCAGAGGTAGAGAGAGAGAGAGAGATTCTTAAGCAGATTCTGCACTGAATGAGGAGCCCGATGTGGGGCACCATTTCATGACCCTGAAATCTCAACCTGAGCCAAAACCAAGAGTCAGAGGCTTAACTGACTATGTCACCCAGGTGCCTCAGTATATTCTTTATTTTTTTTAAATGATAGAAATTCCCAAATCCTTTGAGCTACATCCTCCTTAACTTTGGTCCAGAATCCTTCACAGTCTTGGTCCATTTCAACCTTGAGCACCACCCCCTTACTCTTGTCATATTTTCCCAAAAACATGACAGGGTTTTGTCAAGTGGCTATAAACTATACACCAAGGGAGTATATATGTCTGACTAAAAGGAGTTTAGATTTGTTTGTTTCTGAAGGTGTGGGTGTGAGATAATGGGAAGATCCTTGCGGGTATAAATGAACATAAGGAAGGAAATAAAAGCACTTTATTTTTTGATAAGGACCAGGCAGTGGTTGAGGATTTCTGGGAGATCAAGAAACTCTAACAAAATGGCAAACTCTCTTATTGTTGTAAAATTTAAGAAAGAAGAAAATGAAACAGTTTAAATACTTGATACTGATCTATTGACAAACTTTAAATTCATCCACTATTTAAAATTTTAAGATATAGAATTGGTTCTGTCACTCACATTAAAATAATTCATATACACTAGGTGGGGAACCACTGGCAGATTTCTTCAAATGATTGAACTAGCTCATGAAAAATACAGATAAATGAGAGTAAAGTATGATTTTGCATAAGAATGTGACACTGCACCATATTCATTGTTCATACTTTTGAAAATTATTTTATATGGTATTTTTTAATATATGGCATATATAGTATTCTAGATAAATTGTGATAAAAGTTATTAGCTTAATATCTGTACAAGCAATATTATAGTTGATGTAACATTTAAGACTTTTGTTTAAGGTTTATTACATATACCTTGGCCTATAAAGTTACCTGTTTGATCCTGTAGAAGTTTTCAGGTCTTGCTGCTCTTTAAAAATGAATCCACCTGGTTTGAGTTGAAATGGCTCCAACGTGCATGACTTAACATACCTACGCTCTCTAATGCAGGTCTCCTTCCTCTGTCCTTTATTTACTCGTCGTGCTAAAAAAGAAAAGAATGAGCTGGTTTTTCATTCTTTATCTGCCATTTTATAGTCCAGTTATTTTATGTACTATAGAATACCTGCTATTCAAATTGTTAAATAAATTTTATTATAATGCCCTTGTTCTGCTTGCTTTGCCTTCTTAATTTATATACTATCAGAAAATGTAATAAAACCCTGCAAACATTACGTTCTGTGGAATGTAATCAAGGCAAATTATAAAGGGAAGTGGTTCTTGCCTTTATAAAGCTTATGAAAAGATCATTTTGAAAAATTCATAGAGCTGAAATAAATATCAATTGCCTGAAATTCTACCTTAACCCTAATAATCTTGATGAATAAGTGACAACAGAAAAATGAGAAAATACTTGCAATAGTAATAAATAAGGACATTCTAAGCATCATGTTAGTGTCTTTTTAACATTTTATTTCAGAGAGTATTAATTTAGAAGAATCTAGATTTTTGTCATGAATCTAGATTTATGTCATATTTGGTATAAACACATTGTGATCGATGAACATAACAAGAGTAACAACAGTCTGAGACACGGTATGGGCCAGGCACTGTGCTAACTGCTTTAAATGTGTTCTATCATTTATCAAGCCAGAGCATGGAAGGTGTGATCTATTAGCTTCGAATCTGGTACGGAAGACTGTAGAAAGTCCCCGTCATACAAAACTTAACTCAAAACTGGATTTAACGAATAAACTTAAAAAACCTGGCTCCCTCCTTGTTATAATATGTTCTCAGAACTTCTAAGCCATTCAGTTTATGATTGTTTTTGCTCATGGTATCATTTTTAATTGTTATTTTTAATTCTTAACGTGGCAGGTATACTTTTATAGTACATGTTGAATATGCTAAAAATTACAATTAAATGTATAGTAGAATAATAGAGAATTGTTATTTTCTTTTTACTTTGAATTAAAAAGTAGTGTGGCCCATGATACAGAAGCATTACAACATAAAATAGGATTTTTATAGCTCATTATTTGCCCAATAATGTGGAGCAACCTATTATGTTGAAATTTTTGTTTTACAATACTAGTTGCTTAAAGAAAATATGAATCAGTTCTGTATTAAATTTCTTTATTGAAAACAAATAAACGGTTATGTTATACCAGTTTGATTTGTTTTGTTTTCTAGGTGCAACAATCGAACACAGTGTATAGTAGTTACTGGGTCAGATGTATTTCCTGATCCATGCCCTGGAACATACAAATATCTTGAAGTCCAATATGAATGTGTCCCTTACAGTAAGTATGAAGTTTGTGATTTTCACTCTCTCCAGCATTCCTCGTTGATGCTGAAAGACTACACATGTGAAAGAAGCATATGTTTATGGCCTACAAAACCATTATGCATGCAGAGCACTAACAGACTCGGGCCTCCAATTAGCTTCATGAAGTGTGGAAGGAAGCCATAGTGTGATGCTGGCCAAGTGTCTGTCTGTGTTCTTAAGTGTTTGGCTTTTAAGACTAGTGTTATTCCAGAAAACAAACTTGAATTAGCTATTCAGTAGGGCAGATAGAAATCTGTACTTTTGCCCAATACCAGTTGCTGACAAATTGGTTTGGCTCACAGTTTTCTAAAGAAGGAATTGACTTCGGTTTTAATCGTGAGCTACTTGAATGGCTACCTGCTGTTGTGGTAACTTTAGTGCCTGGTAAAAGCTACCATTGTAGTAACTGAGGCAAGTGCTTTCCTTTTTTTTATTTCCTTGTCCTTACAGGAGCATTTCTTTACCAGATTCAGTGTTGAAATCTTACAGTAAATAAAATAGATGTAACAAAGTCTTGCATGTACTTCTGTTTTTAACTTGACAACATCCATTAGACCCCGTAGAGGGATATTTAAAATTCAGATGGAGTTTTCATCAGTAGTCTTTAGCTAATGCTCTGATTCTGCGTATTTTCCCTCCTAATCTCAGAACTCGTACTGCTAAATTGTATTCGGCACTTTCAGTAGAAAAAAAGCATTTTAGACAACCAAAAATGTCAGTATATTAGGTCATTTTTGTAAGCTAGTTTGTTTAATAGTGTTCTTGTCTTCTTTACTTTTTAAGTTGGAAAAAAAGATGTGTCCTGTAAACTTGATTCATGAGCATCTGAATTGAAAGTTCTTCAGCAGCGATTTTAATGATTTAAGAAAGTTTTGTACACTTCCCTCCTCAAAAAAAAAAAAATGATTTAAACTAAATAATGAAATTGCCTTTTCCAGAACCCTGAAAGCTAGACTAGTTCTGATAGATTTATATGTCCCAACCATCAATATTTCTAAAAACCCAAGGGGCTGAATTCAGATAGATATAATATGTCCAATATGGTAGTAATACATTCTTATACATCCTGTGAAGGTGCGGTCTCTCTCTTCTCTGCCCACAGTTTTGATAAATTGGCTTTTTGTGGGTATCAGTTAAAGGCCAAACACAGATTATCTTTTCTTTTCATCCCTGCTCTGTGTTCCTGTGTTACTGTGAAATGGATGCTTTTTGTTTTCAGTATTTTCTATACCATTTGTAGGATTGGAAGCCTACTGAGTGCACTGATCTTTATATTATTTCTCTTGTGTGTAGTGTTGGTGGCTTACATAATCATTCTCCTGTGCCACTAGAGGAACGTTGCATTCTTTTGAGCTAACCAAAATTTTGTTCCGTAAAGTCGCTTTCATTTGAATTTATCATGGTTTCTGTCCTCAAATTAGAAAAGGAATACAGCATCCATTCCCAAACAATGGAATCAGTCAGAGCTGCCAAGAATTGTCTTTCTGGAGCCAGTTCCTGTAACCTAGTCTATAGACCAAGAACAGTATTAAGCAAATATTATTTTCAGACACTTGAGTTATTTCTTGCTCTGTCTTAGAAAGGAAAATGTGGATATCTTCTGGAACATCTAACTTTCAAAATTTTACTTTTTCAGTTCTCCAGAAGTATTGTATATTGTGCACTAAACTTGCAAATAGCTATACTCAGAGAAGTATTTGTTCTTTTTAGTTTTTGTCCTTAAAAAAAAAAAAACACTAGTAATTAATTTGCTGTTACCTTTCTAGATGTTTGCACGAGGCAGAAATAAGTCTGGCTTTTTTTTTTTTCAAATTACTCCATGCTAAAGTGTAGAATTATGATTCCTATATACTGTACAGTAGTGACACACTATATTGCATGATTTTCACTAATATTAAAATTTAATGCAAAAGGATCTTTTTAAATTGTTTGATATTAGGTAGGATTGTATATTTCCTTATCTCTTTTCCTCATTTTCCACTCCTTTTGTTTCTTTATGTTTCTATTATACCCATCCCTTATACTTTGATTTTAAGCCTGTAACTTTCCCATTCTCCTTGTTTTAATAGTGTTTTTGTACTTTGAATCATTTGCATACCCCTTTTAAACTTTACGTAGTTGACAAAAATTGCATTTATTATGTCTTTTACTGCCTGGCTTTATGCCAGATTCTATCCAAAGCAGATTGCCTAGGAGTTTACAGATCTGAAACTATTTAAATTTCCTCAAGAAATTTCCCATGATTTTTGAAAATTTTATATTAAAGTCACTAAACAGAATTTATTAGAAATGTCATTGTTTGCTTTACTTTTTATGTTTACAGACAGGCACGTGTAATATTACATGTGATATTTATACCTACTCAGATAATGCCTGTGTCAAAAATGCATGTATCCTGGGATTATCCTTTATCATTAACAGAAGTGTTAGTAATTAATTGAATGTATGTGTGTTTAAAAGAGACCGTAAAGATCTTCTAGGATAAAGGAAAATAATTATTAGAATTTTGTACCCTACAGACAAGATTTGGTTTTGACATTTGTGCCCTCTTTTTCAAATTATCATGAAATTATCCAAATTATACCAGAATTTTAGCTATAAGTTTTATTTGATGAGAAAAATAACTATTACTTTTGATTAAGTATTTTTAATGAATAAATGTAAGATTATTCAAAATAGTGTGTCACTTCAGATACAGAGTATGTAGGCTTAAGTGTCTTTGGGTCAGTTTCATGTCTTGCATATATCCATGTGGTCCTCCACTGATGTTAGTGGGTCGTGTATTTATGTTTGGTCTATAGAATAGTAAATGTATTATTATGAATTAATTTACACAGTCTTTTAAAACAAGTTGCAATATACATTTGGCATGTGATGAAGAATGCTAATTTCATTAATTTTATTGTATTTTTATATTCTTCGGGGTTGATGGAGTTTTGGCTGGTTTGAAAGATCTCTGTCCTTTGGGTTTTCATAACAAATCATAATGTAAGGACTTTTGTTTTCAATATCCATATCTTATGTGATTCATCAGTCATCAAAGGTTTTGTTTAATTATTTTTTATTTTTACATTTGGGTGTTACTTCTGTTTTCATCAGAACTATAAGTTATATATAATTTCTATTATTAGTATAAGTAGTTAAATCACAAAGGCTTCTCTATTTAATATTTTGCTAAGCAAATTCACTGTCATTTTAGTGTATTTATAAAGCTTGGCCATTTTCAATCAATAGAAAACAGATATTTTACGCATTCTTTATTGAACTTCATTTTAAGTTCTATTTTAAATATGTAACATATTTTAAAATGTATTATTCCCATCCTTCACATTTAATTGATTTACTCAGCTCAGTGAAATCATCCTTTCCTGAAAATAAGAATACAGCTGAATATAAATATAGTCTGAGAAGTCACAACACTAATAATTTCTCTTATCCTCATTTTCCCACCACGCCCTTCCGTTATTGATTCTAAGCAGGTATAATATTGTTCTCCATTGAGGAAGTAGTTTCAGGACTACTGGTTTATAAAAAAGAACTGTTTCATATCAGTAACACTGAACTTCTTAGTTTTACTGGATATAGTCAGAATTACACATTATAGGGAGAAAGTATGTTTCCTGAAAGTGCTTAAATAGATCAAGTTGGATGGGGAGGTGGTGGCTTAATGCAGAAGGTTATATGCTACTCCTAGGGCAAAAATATTTGTACGATATTTCTCCCTGAGGTATTTTGGGAGGTCATTATTTAATCTTGATGAATTATTGTAATTTTTAAAAATTAATCAAGCTAAGACATCTTAATGAAATGTGCAACTACAGTATCTTTGAGTAATCAGTTTGGAGATAGAGGATTAGCACACCCTAATGCATTTTAATAAGGAAAGAGGGAGAATCACAGACATTAATCTGGTCACTTTATGAAATTCAGGCAACATACTTCAAAGCCTACATATAATCTAAAATAGTGTTTTATGGTTTGTAATTATTAGAATTCTATTTACCAGCAAGAATCTTATATAGCACCCTTCCTAACTATATAATCCGTTTCTTTAGACTTCTTGGAGGGAGGATTTTTTTTTTCTCATATATCTGTACTAATCAGGTTTGTTTTATGAAAGCATTTACCTTTTATGGGGTCTGTGGGGTCAAGGTATTTGCTTTGAATGCTTGGTATGATTGTCATTGCATGCCAGCTTGCTTTCTGTGTAAATTGATGATAGTTGACGATGTCATAATAAGCTAACCATAATTCTTTCTTCCTTTTTCTCCTTGCCTACTGTGCTTGCTTTTTCCTTGTATGTATTTTGCTTACTTTTTTTTTTAAATAGACTTAATAGTACAAGTTTAAGATACGTAATAGAGGGAATTTAATAATAATTTTATAATGTATATATAAACATAAATAAGTAAATTTACTAATTCTTAATGGGGAAGAAAGGCACTATGTTACCCCATCATTCAAAATCCCTATTGGGGTAGCAGAGGAGATTTATATATTTTCCTGCAAAGGAGGCATTTTTTTCTTATGATTAAGATGGATTTTTCTGGAAATAGAAAATAATTTTTAAAAATCGAAAAGTACTAAGATGTAAGAAGAAATATTACATAAATATCTTTGGGAAAATGTTACAATATAACTATATTAATATTCATTAAATTTGACCTAAGCTCCAAAATTGAGTTGTCATTTTTATTTTTCCTGTTGTTATACTTACCTGATTTTAGTCAATTTAATATTGAGTTCATATAATAAGGTAGATGGGGTTGATACACTTATGCATGCATTTGTGTCTGTAGCATACATATATAAAGTAAAACTTGATAAAAATGCTGAGTGACTTTGGAAAGGCAAGAGTATATATACCATGCATTAGTGAAGAGTTTCATTATTTATTCAGGTACGCTAAGTGAAGCAACATGCCAACATATTTGTATTGCCTCCTTAATCTACTAAAATGATTGATCCATGTTCTTTTATGTAACTTTAGAATCTTTCTCCTGCTAGGTTTTCCTGTTGTGTGTTTCTCTTTATCCAAAGTAGTACAGCTCTTATTCTTCCTATATTTAGCATCTATTACGAATTCAGTCTTAGACTAATAGTCAATTTATTTTAATCTTTTTTCTTTTTTCCTTGCACTTTTTCTGTTTTTCTTCCGATGCTTAAAATAGAAGTGGAGCAAAAAGGTAAATAACGTATACAGTCTGAACCCCAGCTCCCTGTTATGTGCCTTATGGATGTTACCTCCTCCCTTCCCTCCCCCCACAACACTCCTGACATTAAAATAATCAGCAGGATCTCATAAATGCACCTCATAAAGAAGTCAACTGTTTACAATGAAATTATATGACTGCTAAATCTGGTGATGGGGTAAAAATTCTGAAGTCGGCGAGGGGGAGCTGCTCCTTTCTGTGTTTCTTTTTCACCCTTTCTCTCTTTTTCTGACACCTTTGGATATTTTATTATTAAAGTGTCATCTTGCCTGGCTTCCAGAACCCTCTCCATAGCATGCCATGGTTACAGGGTCTCCTGGTCGTTTCATCACTGCTTTCCTTGTATTTACTTTTCTCTGTTCCTAGTTACATTTTCTGAGTATTTATGTTTCTTCAATCGAAGCACCTTTGTTTTCAGTCTAACTTCTATAGAAGTTCTAAATAAGCCTTCACATTGGGTTTTCGTTTTATTTCCTTTATTTTGGTGTTTTGCTTTTGAGAGTTTATAAGTGGGCCGGGGGGGGGGGGGAGGTACAGAGTTGAGACTAAAATAAAGTCCTTTGTACACTGTTATGCACAAAGCTCAAAGTTTTAAAGTATAAATTACCAAAGCCTAAGATTAAAAACACATAGCAAAGATACACATTGTCACCTCAGTTATAAATGACCTTAAACTTAGGTTTGTATTTTTTAAAATAAACCCCAGCCACTTTCTATGCTGGTACATTGAGTATTGTAACTAGCGGAAAGAAGGGTAATACTTGCATTAAATTTTGGTAAAATCGAATGTTAATAAATCACATTTTTTTCTCTTTGGATTTAAATCATTAAAACTTGTATTTGCCTGTTTAATTTTTTAACTTGGCTTAATTGTTGTCTTTTCTCTGTGACTGTTAGTTTTTGTGTGCCCTGGGACCTTGAAAGCAATTGTGGATTCACCATGTATATATGAAGCTGAACAAAAGGCAGGTGCTTGGTGCAAGGACCCTCTTCAGGCTGCAGATAAAATTTATTTCATGCCCTGGACCCCCTACCGTACTGATACTTTAATAGAATATGCTTCTTTAGAAGATTTCCAAAATAGTCGCCAAACAACAACATACAAACTTCCAAATCGAGTAGATGGTACTGGATTTGTGGTGTATGATGGTGCTGTCTTCTTTAACAAAGAGAGAACAAGAAACATTGTGAAATTTGACTTGAGGACTAGAATTAAGAGTGGAGAGGCCATAATTAACTATGCCAACTATCATGATACCTCACCTTATAGATGGGGAGGGAAAACTGATATCGACCTAGCAGTTGATGAAAACGGCTTATGGGTCATTTACGCCACTGAACAGAACAATGGAATGATCGTTATTAGCCAACTAAATCCATATACTCTTCGATTTGAAGCAACATGGGAGACTGTGTATGACAAACGTGCTGCCTCAAATGCTTTTATGATCTGCGGAGTCCTCTATGTGGTCAGGTCAGTTTATCAAGACAATGAGAGTGAAACAGGCAAGAATGCAATTGATTACATTTACAATACCCGATTAAACCGAGGAGAGTATGTAGACGTTCCCTTCCCCAACCAATACCAGTATATTGCTGCGGTGGATTACAATCCTAGAGATAACCAACTCTACGTGTGGAACAATAACTTCATTTTACGATATTCTCTGGAGTTTGGTCCACCTGATCCTGCCCAAGGTAAGAATGTTTGCTTACTAATGCTTATGTCTTTATGAATAACTTACTTTTAAAAGACTTGGAGGTTTTTCCCTGTCAGTGTTCTTTCCCCTTTTCAGAGTTGAAGCTCCAAGGATAATGTTACGGTACTTATGCTGTCACATAGTGTGTACATTTTAGCCTTACTTTGGCCTATTTGCCTTCTCTGAATTTTTTCATTTAAATGTTGACTTCAAATAATCGTAGCATCATTGGTCAGTTTAGTTCCTCATTGCTAAAAATGTAATACTAGCTACAACTTGTTAGCTTTTCTTTTTCCCCCTTACCTGATTTCTGAATTGATTACAATCTGTATGCAGACCTTTTAACTTCTTGGCGCCAGTGGTTAAGGGAAATGTGTGTTCGGAAGTCCCAGGAGAATCGCTAGGCTTTTGATGTACAATGTCAGGCATAAATGTTCTGAAGTTTTGGGATCTGCTCTCTGGGTAGGAGAGGGAGTCATCCAACATCTTCCTGGTAAAATTACACATTTTTATTTCCTGATAAATTAGTGATGGTTTTAAAGTAAGTATTTCTGTGACTTTAACTGTCACGCATAGACTAAGCATTAAATGATCCCAAGTGATGATTTATGAAGATGGATCAGCTAACATTTTTGATTTGTGTTCTCTTTAGGTATCTTTATGGAGGATCATTACTTTAGAAAGTAATGTAAAATCTTGGAAATATGTTTTAGGTGGTCAAGTGAATTCAGTTCTGTGGGAAACAATTTTTGAGGGTAAATTACATGAATATTTCATTACAACAAAATGACCTCATACTCATGATAAAAGTAACCTATTCATATATTGTTATAGAGCTTCTACTAATTATAAGTCTTTTCTATTTGAACAGTAATATTTGTGTTTTAAAGATCTGAATATTTCAGTTTACTGAGTTAATTGGAATTTCTGATTATTGAGTTACTTCAGAATTTTAGGAACCAGAAAGTTCTTTGGAGTGATTAAATCAGTGTCTTCAACAAGGTGAAAAAGAAGTTAGTATCTTTTTCTGTTAAAGCAATACATACGCTCTACAGTAGGTTCCCCACACGGAGGCTGATGGGAGACTTGATCCCAGGACCCCAGGATCACAACCTGAGCCAAAGGCAGATGCTCAACCACTGAGCCACCCGGTCCCCCTATGCTCTCTTTAGAGAGGGAGAAGGTGAAAGGAAAAACAGAGCTTATTTAGAGAAATGAAGCAACCGAACCATGTAGAGATCCCATAAGGCTAAAAATTCAAAGAAAAATAAAAAAGATGTATTTGAAAACCATGATTGGGGCTAAGAAATAATATACTAATATACTTGCCCTGTTAGGAAGGAAAAGGCTTGGGTTTATAAGTGAGGAAAAGTATGGGAACCTAATACACCATGAAACCATCCACAGTGAAAAACAAAAGGAATCATAATTTTACAGCACAATGTATACCTTAGTAACGTACGTGGTAGCAAATCTGGTATATAAGACTAAATTACAGCCAAACCAGTCAGTCATTGTTTTATGACGGCTGAAAACCTGAATTCTCTGATTGCTCTGTCCTATCAGTTTTGTGGGTCTCACTTCTGCAAAGCTGACAGTGGCTTATTGATTTGACCTAAATTGATGGGCCAGCATAGATTTGCAAGACCTCAACTACATGCATATAGATATCAGCACGTATCTTGGATGAGACAGGAATCTCTAAAACAGATAAAGATAATACAAGAGAGTTAAAAGACATTATAGCTCAAACAACAGCAAGAGAAATTTTAGGTTATATAAAACTTTTTATCACTAAGGGCTTAATAAGGGGCCAATTTGAATTTTTACTTTTCTGGGAATATTTAGGGATGGCTAACTATATTGGATAACAAAACACAGTTGCAAGAACACAACTACGAAATATGCATAAGTTTCCCATTTTCAAAGCTGATAAATGCTCTTTCCAAAAATATCTACATTATCAAAGACTTTTTCATCTGAAATGGATCAAATTATTTGCTTAGAATATAAACCACACATGGAAAATGACATTATTACTCATCTTGTATTCACAAAGTACTTTGTGACAAGTAGATGGGGCCATGATTCTTTGTTGAATTGAATCTGTACTCAATTTATTCTCACAATCCTTTAGTGTTGTCTGATATGAATTTGCATTTTCTAAAGTATTTTATTTCTCTTTTTCCTAATGGAGGGAGAGAGATTTATTGCCACCCAAAATAAATGTAACAGCTGTGAGAATAACACGGGTTACAAAAAAGATCAACACAAGGATCAATATTAAAATGTCAAATTTTGTCAATTCCTGAGGTTTGCCTTTGACAAACCTATAGGATAAAGGAGAAGGGTGGTACTAGCTTTTAGAGAAAACAAAACAAAACAAAACAGTTGAGTTATAGGAAACATCCCAAATTGCCTTATGAGAAAAAAGATATTGAGCATCTGCTTTTGGCTCAGGTCATGATCCCAGGGTCCTGGGATCGAGTTCCGCATCGGGCTCCCCATAGGGAGCCTGCTCCTCCCTCTGCCTGTGTCTCTCCCTCTCTCTGTATTTCTCATGAGTAAATAAAATAAATAAATAAATAAATAAATAAATAAATAAATAAATAAATAAATAAATAAATAAGATCTTTTAAAAAAATAAAGTGAGTTTAGGAGAAACCCTTTCAGTCCTCTTTTAACTCTTTCTGTTTCTTAATCTGAATTGCTTTATATTTACTTTGCAAATTTGATGTCCTAAATATTATTTTTTTAAAATATTTATTTATTTGAGAGAGGGACAGAGTGCACAAGCAGGGGGCAGGGGCAGAAGGAGAGGGAGAAGCAGAACCCCCACCCCCTGAGCAGAGAGATGATCTGGGGCCCAATCGCAGGACCCTGAGGTCATAACCTTAGCCGAAGGCAGCCGTTTAACAGACTGAGCCACCCAGGTGCCCCCCCAAATATTATTGAAAAAATATTGTGTCTTGAGTTTTGACAGTTCCTGAATATTTGTCTTAGAGTAATTATGAATTATGACACTTTAATAATATAAGGAAAAATATTTATAAAGAGAACTAGTTAGGTTTTTTTCTTAGGAAGTGTTTAGCATAGAATACATATTCCTTGAAACATCTTTCTACTCGTAATGCTGAAAAAAGATGATCTTTATTTTTAGACTTTGAATAAAGGTAAATTTATACATTTTGCTTTTCCAGGCTACAGACTCATTGTAATTAGAGTTCATTCAGTGAACAATGAGTTCTTGGACCTGGATGAGGGAGGTACTACCCTTTGCATAAATGGATACGGTTGTTAGTAAACAGCACCGTATTAGATGGAAGCATTCTGTTTGTATTTGTTGAAATTTTCAAGGGTAGTTGTTAAATATGTTTATTAGTATTTTATTAGTACTATTTCTGGGTCTCTATACTCAAATGACAAAGGTTGACCGAATGCTGTCATTTAATATGGATGCTTGATATGACACTGAACTCTGGAACAAAACTTTGTAATATAAGGTTTAGATTTGAGATATAATTCTGTTGTGAGTTACCATGTTTTCTATTACCATTTATAGGATATTCTTGAGTTTTGAATCTTTTGCCAAATAAGTTACATTATGAAACTTGTTATCATCTGTTGCTCTAGCATTTTATGTTATCTTCCCACATCTTTTCTTGTTTTAGAGGTTTACAAAGAAAAATATCAGTTAAATGCTCCAAAATAAGGGCATATTGCTTTGTGGGATGCCATATTTTCCAGAGTCTATGAAAATCTTTTACCTAAAAAAGTAAGATCGTAACATTTAAGAGTATGGCCAGGTGACCTTAAACAAATTGCCTAACCTTCTCCATGGCTCAATTTTGTCATCTGTAAAAGGAAGCTAATCATAGTGCCGACTTCACGGGGTTGTGGTAAGGATTAAATAAGATGATCCGATGATCCATGAATGGTGATTAGCATAGCATCTGGTACATAAATGCTGAATAAGTGTAGGCTTTTATCATTATCAGATGCCCTGTTGGGACCTGTCTTCACTTATGGAAGAAATGTTAATTTTTAGAAACAACCTCAGCATTTATGGCTTCATCGTTAGAAAAAAAAAATGCTTTCTGTAAAGTTACTTAACTAGCAGAAGTTTTGCAAAACTCTGGAAATTCTGATTGTCTTTGAAGAGGGTTTAATTTTGCCACTTATTAGTTCATTTTCATGTTTTTCATGATATCCCAATATTTCATTGATTTATGTTTGAAGAATGTATTGATTCCCTTTAAACTTTCATTGAACGAATGGTGAAAATGTATGAAATTTATTATCAAAAATGCATGCAAAGAGGCTATAGCATGTTGCAAGAAATTTTATCCATTTCCTAGTTGTCATTTTGTTTCCTACCTTGACTCAGTTATATGAATCTTTCCTGACGTGTAGCTAACGAATCACTAATGGTAGTATTGTTAGGACATATTTCAGTGACTAAATATGTACTAATTAGTGTAGTGTCAAGAGATACATAAGATGGTGTGGGACTAAACCATTTTGCTCTGTACTTTCCGTTTTTGCTCTGATTCGCCACTACTCTTTAAGATTTGATTCAGAGGCAGTCATCTGACACGTCTGTAAAAGATTGTGATGCTTTTGACAAATGTTAATTGAGAAAGTACTGAAAGCCTGGCTGCATTGTAATCAAAAGAAAATTACAGAGGTTTAACAAGATGTCAGGCAAGTGCTTTACAGAAAAAGATAGACAGGTTTGAATAGGTTTCTGCAGCAGCTGGCTAGGCATGATGTTTGACTAATGTACACGGCATCTCTCATATGGTCAATAAATTATGCCCTGGAAATAAAACACATGATTAAGAAGTTCCTCTTGAGATAGAAGGGAAAAAAGTGTAGAAAGTGTGTAGTATGCATTTATTGACAGCAAGAAGTTTCTCATTACTAAGGAACTGGAAACAAGTGCATGCTACTTTTTGTGGTAGGATACTCTGTTAATAGTGACATGATATAAACAACTATTTATGGAGCAGAGCTTAAAATAATAAACATATTACTGATAATAGGAACTTGCTTTCTAAGTTTTAATGTTCTACTTTGTTTCTTACATTATAGAGATAGCATAAAATAAGTTAATGTTTTTATAAGATTATTTGAAAAAAGTTATTTTTAATTTGCTGTACTATGTTAGTTTAAATATAAAGCATCGTATATGTAAGGTTTCAAGAGCCAGTAGACTATAAGTGTTGATAAAACTTCAGTGTGATCACCTAATAGATTTCAAATGATAGCATTAAAGTTTTACCAACAGAATTTAAGTTGTTTAAACTAATTACAATTAATGAAGGAAACTTTAAGCTCCATTATTTTTTTTAACCTAGTAGATTTAACAGTTTGAAAGTAATGATGGAAATCAAAACTAACCTTTTAGAATAATTTATTTTTTTTGTATTTTTTTTAAATTGGAGTTCGATTTGCCAACATAACATAACAACAGCATAACAACACCCAGTGCTCATCCCGTCAAGTGCCCCCTCAGTGCCCGTCACCCAGTCACCCCATCCCCTGCCCACCTCCGCTTCCACTACTCCTTGTTCACTTCCCAGAATATAGGAGTTTCTCATAGTTTGTCACTCTCTCTCATATTTCACACTCATTTTCTCTCCTTTCCCCTATAATCCCTTTCACTATTTTTTATATTCCCCGTATGAATGAGACCATATGATGTTTGTTCTTCTCCGATTGACTTACAGAATAATTTATTTTTAAATTTCTACTTTAAAATGTGTAATTGTAGTTCCGTTTACACCCTCTGTTAAGCATCCATGCAATAGGTAGGGTTGATTTCAAATTAGGCTTGATTTGATCTAACCTGTTATCTTGATAAGAGATTGCATTATGGGATCCCTGGGTGGCGCAGTGGTTTAGCGCCTGCCTTTGGCCCAGGGCGCGATCCTGGAGACCCGGGATCGAATCCCACATCGGGCTCCCGGTGCATGGAGCCTGCTTCTCCCTCTGCCTATGTCTCTGCCTCTCTCTCTCTCTGACTATCATAAATAAATAAAAATTAAAAAAAAAAAAAATTTAAAAAAAAAGAGATTGCATTATAACCCCTGACCAGAACTAGTTGCTTTTTCTACCTACATTTCCAAATGTAAATATGCCTGACGAAGAAGCTTCAGATGTTTGCTTACTAACACAGCACAAGCATGCCAAGTTTATCTTCTGTTTGGATCTAATCAGGCATGCTCAAAAATCTCTCAAGCAAGAATGGCTGCTGGGTGCAAAGATGTCACAGTATTTATTTTCCTGCAAGATGTAGAGTGGGTGACTTTAAATTTTCTATTGTCCTAATTATATATAATTGTCAGATTTTTATCGATACTTCGAATTTGATTATTTGTAGGGTATGAATTTATATAAAAAATTGTTTCTGTATTGTTTCTTAGTAACATATACTTGGTATAGACACTGAAACTTCATTTAAAATTGTCCCTCAGTTTCTGTTGGATGATAAATGATGAAATATACTTAAAATGTATTATCAAATAGTTCACTGAGGAGTAGACTTAACACAATTAGAGTCATACCGAAAAATCTATAGTAAAGCCTAAACTACCATTCCTTAGCCAACAATATGAATAAACTAGGATAAATAAAGGGATGTGTTCTTTCTGCAACCTACTGGTGTTTTCACTAATTCTCATGTTGCTAGGTTTTAGGGGTAGTTGATGGGGGAGGGGTTTTGTGCTGTGTGTGTACATATACACATTCACGCGTGTGCCTGTATGTGAGTGCAACTGTGTGTTTGAGATTAATATACTCATCTTTTTTCCATAGTGCCTACCACAGCTGTGACAATAACTTCTTCAGCTGAGCTGTTCAAAACCACAGTATCAACCACAAGCAGTACTTCACAGAAAGGCCCTATGAGCACAACTGTAGCTGGATCACAGGAAGGAAGCAAAGGGACAAAACCACCTCCAGCAGTTTCTACAACCAAAATTCCTCCTGTAACAAATATTTTTCCCCTGCCAGAGAGATTCTGCGAAGCATTAGACGCGAGGGGGATAAAGTGGCCTCAGACACAAAGGGGAATGATGGTTGAACGACCATGTCCCAAGGGAACAAGAGGTAGTTCTTGTAAAATGCCAAACGTATATTTTTAAATTTAGTATGAGTAGGTTCTGAATTACACTGAAGTGATCTTGAGGAAAGAGAGCCATTTACGATAGCTGATTTTGTTACTGTTTTTGTTAACTTTGGTAATGCAGCATTTGGAGGCAACCTAAAGGCTCGTGAACTGAGAACGTTATTTAAGATCAGGCTGTGAATTACTACCTCTCTCTTTTAAAGACCTAGGTCAAGCCTGACATTTTTTGCCCATAGACTCCAGCAAGGTTTCCTTACAGCTGCCTTTCTCATTACAAGTATCATTTTGGATGAATCCCAAGAAAATCAAGGGCTTTTTGTTTGTTTGCTGTAAATGTCTGATATTTCGATGCTGACTTTATATTTATTGTTTATAATCTGCATTATACCCTACTTTTTTGTCAGTTATTGTCAACCACTTCCATTAGCGTTTATTCAAAATTTAACGTGCAGTGTAGTATCATTGTAGCTGATTTCCCGAATGCATGCAGAAAAATGGTTTCAATTTCACTGTTGTTTTCTACATCTGTTGTAGGAACTGCCTCCTATCTCTGCATGGTTTCCACTGGAACATGGAACCCTAAGGGCCCCGATCTTAGCAACTGTACCTCACACTGGGTAAATCAGCTGGCTCAGAAGGTTGGTTGGAACCTTTTAATATGATACACATTGGTGATTAAGGGCTTTAACGTCTAACATAAATAATTTAGCTTTGTATGTTAAAACCGGCTTCAATGTTCTTTGTTCAGTATAAAAATAAAAAGCTATGCATAGTTTTGTCTGTAAACTGTTTATTTAAGTTACATATGTTTTGGGGCATGCTGTTTTCTATGTTAAGCTTTTTAATGAGTAGATACTTGCTTAATTTCATTCATATTTAGTTTGTTCTTTTCTTTTGATGTTTGTAAGACAAATAGTCCACCGGCCTAATAAATCAAATATCATTAAGTTTGCAACTGAATCCGCAGAATGCAAGCAGATGTTTATATCACAGATGATTATGATAGAATAAGTAAGAACTACTTTAAAAGGCATTAATAACTTTAATATTACAATGCGATGCAATGACATTTTAGTTTCTCCTTCCTCATCTACCTTTCTGAAATGCAAGCAAGCAGTAGATAATAACTCCCAGTATCATACTGATTACATCCTGATTTAAATTTCTGGATCATTGGAATAAATAAATAAGATTTTTAAACAGCAGTTTAAAATGGTGACAGTGAAATGAGAAAGCTATCTGAAAAACTTTAAAAAGGATTTCTCGTTTACTTCTTTTTTCCTTTCATTTCTCTTAAATGTCTGGTGAAGAATTTCTTTTGTATGTTGAGGATCTAAGAACCTTTAATCATCTGAAATGAAGAGAAAGTTATTGGTCTCAATTTGTTGCAGATTTTGACATATTTGCAAATATTTCTCTCACCACAACAAAGATACTCAAGAAAAGAACAAAAAGCCACAAACAGAGCAAGGAATCATACTGAGATAATATAAATTGTCATTTCAGATCAGAAGTGGAGAAAACGCTGCTAGTCTTGCCAATGAACTGGCTAAACATACCAAAGGGCCGGTGTTTGCTGGGGATGTGAGTTCTTCAGTGAGATTGATGGAGCAGTTGGTGGACATTCTTGATGCACAGCTGCAGGAACTGAAACCTAGTGAAAAGGATTCCGCTGGACGGAGTTATAACAAGGTAGGTAGGAATTTCCTGTTATTTAATCAGACATTTTGTATGGCAGCTCAAGATTCCTCTGGCATTGGACTGCCAAACCTCTGGCCCCCTTGACATATTCTTAGAAACAGAATTTCTAATTTGGTTACTTTCCCAAGGAAGAATTATAGCTGAGAAACGAACAACATAAGGGAAAAAAAATAAAAAGTTAAAATCTCTGAGGGAGATTTTAGTTGGTGGCAATCATTGCCTGACTGTGGTCAGTTCTCCCACTTAAGAATGCATTAACTGCACTTGGTGGGATTATGTGTTATGCATCTCATACTCTGTACACTAATACATGCAACTCTTACGGTTGTACTAAAATTGTGACGCAAAGAAGAATGTTAGCCACTGTAATATTGTTTTCAATTGCAGATTTTTGGAGAAGGTCAAGTTTCCCTCTCTAGGAGGATAGTGTATTCATGCTATTAATTTTTCCTAATATGACCAAAATTTGGTAGTTATTTTAACCATACTTTAAATAAGCATATGAGATTCATATTAAGCAAAATTCTCTGGCAAATATGGTGTTCTGAGGTTAAAAAAGCAGACATTTTTGTCTCTTTTAACCACATATTTTGTCTCTGGTTTTATTGTGATACTTTGGATTAGTACACTTAAGAAAATGCAGCTATGAACTTAATAAAGATGCAGTTTTGGCAGTCCCTGTAAACTCAAAAAAAAAAAAAAAAAATCCAGAGGACTACCATGCATAATAAACTGAGATCAGGAACACCAGCCTAAGTTTTGAGGATTTCTTTTTTCCTCATTTTCAACAGATAAAATCTAACCTCTGATTTTCTTTTCTTTTACTAAAAAGCTCCAAAAACGAGAGAAGACATGCAGGGCTTACCTTAAGGTATCTCTCCTGTGCTGTCACCCTGCTTTCTCCCTTCTTCAGCTACCTGCCACGCTTTATCATCTTGCTGCATGATCCAATGTATTTCAGTCTTTGATAATTATATAATGTGCCCCATATCAGCTGTACAAATGTTGGCTCTTCTCAGGTATATTACTCTCAGAATAAGCAAATAATTTACCTTTATAATTTTTGCTGTTTTTTCATTCATCCAAACATTACAAGAATTTTAATGAAGTATCCTCTGAATTGGAAAGTAATCATATAGTCTCTTTGTATCCTGTTGTCATCTCTGTGGATTAAAAATAACTTGAGTAAAACAGCTATGATATATTCTTGGCAGTTTATCATATCAAAGACTGTATAGTCATAATGTATGTGCATGAAAAAGTCACTGCTTTCTTATCTCTGTGGTGTACTCTTAAATAAAATAGGCTTTGTCTTGAAAATTTTAGGAGTCATTTCGAATCAAGTTGATATGGGGATGGGTTACTAGAAATGAATTATAAATAATGTGACAGTGTTACCAATATATGTGCTATGTTGGTTTTTATCAGGCTAATAGAAACAGAAAGCCACTGTTTGGCTCAGAATCCTTGCTCACTCCAGCCAGTTTTTCTCCCTGGTATATCCAAGTAATAGGAAACATGCTGAGGCCGACAGTGGAACTATGTCATGCTAGTTCTGTGTGATAGATCAAAATAATAATACTGGATTGTGTTTCGTTTTATTGTGTGAATTTTAGACGTTTCTTTTGGGAGGGTAGTTTTTTTTTTTTCCTAATTGTCCTCATCTGGGGACTGTATCCTTAGTAAATCAAACGTTAAAGAACTAACACAGATACATATGACAACAAAACAAAAGAAGCTTATAGTTTTGTAGAAGAGAGGTTACTTAAAACCCATGACTCCCAGTTTTGCTTGGCAAGATCTAGAAATAAAAAAGAATGGCAAGTCACTAGTTCTTAATAGACATTGTTGGACCTGAGAACTTTACAAGAATAGATGGTGGGAAAGTCTGTTTTTAGGTAGTAATATTCTGAATGTCCTTTTTAGCCTGTTTAATGGGGGCAAAGAAATAACTGCTGAAGTATATAGAATTTGTCATATTGAAATTTTCATTTCACCTTTAAGGTATTAGTGAATGTGTGAAATGTAATAATTGGTATGTTGCCCAGGACATATATCTCAGTGGGAAAAGAATAGCTTTTTTCCTTTGGCAGGGAGAGACTACTTAAGGCATATGATTAGGCTAATGATCGTTTTTGATTCCACTAGAAAAGTACAAATGGTAATAAATAAGGAGTGTTTCAAATTAATAAAAAGCATGTCATCAGAGAATTATGTGTATATGTTGTACGTTTCAGCATGACCTTAATTTCTGACCAGTGTCATTTTCAGTATCTCTCAAATGAGCCTCTCTGCTCAGATAAGACTAATAAAACTCCTTAAATTACAAATCAGAAGCTGACTTACACTATGCAAATGAAGCGAGTTCCCACTTTGTGACAGAGGATTCATTTGTAACTTAGATTAGAGGCTCCAGTCTGTATTTCTTGGTGACTAATGAATCTGGCCTCAGCAGACCAATTTCTGTTCCACTCTAGTTAATGGCTGCAGCAGTATCACTGTGAGCATTTTGACTATTCTATCTCCCATTAGAGAGGGAAAAAAGCCTTTAACGCCACTTGGAAGTATCTTCCACCTGCCAGGAAGGTCGTGGTGGCTCACAAGGCAGACAGAACGAGGATATTAAGATGGATTAAGCTAATTAATCTTACTCTGACAATAGCTTCAAACAACTTTTCCCCCTGCTTATTTCAATATCGTACCTCAAACTAGCAATTTTTGTTGTTGTTCTTTGCACAGTGTATGTTCTTTTCCCTCAGTGATTACCAATAGATCAAAACAATTTATACATGGTCTTAATGACATATTATGACTAGGTAAATGGGATAGAGTAAATAAACTTAGTGACTTCATCTGTCCAAGCCGTAGTCAGTGAATAGCTATTGTAAGTATCCGTACAAAAGCCTGCTTTCAATTGCTTAACTGACTAGGTTATATTTTTTAATTTAATGTTACTTTGCCTCGTAATAAACTAAGCCTACAAATATGAACATGCACAACTTGGACATTTGTGAAGATTTTATTCTACTTAAATTATTTCATTAAAAATTTTCATTAAATCGTTAGTGTAGGTTTCAGTGTTTTGATCTCTTGATTCTTTTACAAATAAATCATTGTTTAAGAACTAAGATATACTCTCAAGTGTTTTCTAGCTGGACGGGGAATTGGAAGAGCCGATAATATATAAACTGTGAAATCATCTTGGCTTATTCCCAGTGGTATAAGCAGGCAATGTTATAAGACACAATTTTAGTTATTATTCTAGTTCAGGTTCCATAAAACAGTATGGTTTAACTTTAAAGCATAAATATCAGCCTATTCCAGAGACATCAGTGTTTTCTATCTAGAACATTTAAATCCTGAGGTTATAAGTAGGAGTGATCCATGTTAAGAGCTGACATTGGTTGTACTTCTTGACAAAGGAGATATTGTTAGATAAGTATAAACAAGTCATCTCTTCACATTTAATACCCTTTATAATCAAATAGCAGTCTACTAATCTTTAGTTTTATTTTGAAATGGTAGGATATGTTTCAAGTTGGCCAGGTATATATTGTTCAGGTGTTCTTCCAACTTGAAGTAAGAGTATCATTTATCATGACAGATAAATTTTACAATTGTCACTAGTCAGTGATTAAAAATCACCTTGGTACTAGAAGCAGTCAAAACTAATGGTAGTTTTCTAATGGATGCAGGCAATTGTGGACACAGTGGACAATCTTCTGAGGCCTGAAGCTCTGGAATCATGGAAACACATGAATTCTTCTGAACAAGCGCATACGGCAACAATGTTGCTTGATACATTGGAAGAAGGAGCTTTTGTCCTGGCTGACAATCTTGTAGAACCAACCAGGGTCTCAATGCCTACAGAAAATATTGGTAAGTGAACATATTGTCAGGTTTAATCATGATTTAGAAGATACATGTTTAAGAGAATGATGCTTCCCTTCTGAATCTGTTATTTCCCAGAGCCAACTTCTCTTTTGTCAAATTATTATTGATCACACTTCATAAAATTAATGCGAAAGCCGAATCTGTCTATATCTTTTAAAAGTTGGTTTTATGTAAGTTTTTTTTTTCCAACTGAAAAATCATTAAAGAAAAGAGGCTTAGAGTACTTAAATGCCAGAATATGGATTGCGTAAGTAATGAAAGTGCTTGCTATGGAACTGTGGCAAATGCTTTTCCATTTTATATAATATGTTCCTAATGAATTTAAATTACTTTCTGGAATGTGTTCTCCCAGTCAAATATTTTAGGCACACAGAATTTGAGCCAAATGTTTATACTCAACACAACTGCTTTCAGGTGAAAATGTGGTCAGCAAACTACATCTCCTATAGTGCAGACTATACATGCTTCATAGATTGCAAAATAGCTGCAGATAGTTTTGAAGCACAATTTAGAATTTAAATGCTGGCCATGAGAAGTTATAATTCACTTTTGATGATATTTGAAAAAATACAGTAAGTACAGTAAAATTATATTCATTTAGGCTTGACTGATTTAGAATTGTTGGTTATTCAGAGAAGTTGAACTCAGATGAGATTTGTAGTATCTCTTAGTAAAGTAAAAAAGTTTCCCAAGCATTAATGTTAAAAAAAAAAAATAGATAAAAGCCAGAAGGGAACACAGACAACTCTTTCACCAAAATCTTGCATTGGTGCAACAGATACTGAATGAGATATTGCTCTGTGGGATGCCATATCTAATTGCCTAATTATGCCTGCTTAAATCATGGGACTTTGTATTTTAAAATGCACAAAAGAAAGGTATATAGTAGAATCAGTTTATAACTGAATTGAAAACTTTTAAGTTTATAAATTTAAAAACTTGTAAGTTTATTTTAAATGACTGAATTTTTAGGAAAAAATGAAGTATTACTAAAATCATGTTTTTATGTACTGTGAGCTTTGGGGATGATAAATAACTCAGTAACTCCAAATTAAATGAAGTCAAGTTATGTAATTTGGCTGGCCATGATCTGGGATTCAGGTCATAGGGAAAATGATGCTCTGTCAGAGCTTTGGTAGTGAGGCAAAAATGAATAAAGCTCCCTGATTCTGTATAAAGCTTTCATTATTTTTAGTTAATTTATTTGTTAGTCTCACAAAATTCTTAGAATTGTGCTTTGAACAATTCTTCTTAAATTTTCTCAGCAGTGTACCTGTAAGAATAAGAGTGTAAGTGGCATGTTATGACCTACATTTGTTTAAGATCTTCCAATGGCTATTAAAAAAGACACACCTATTATCTCCCTCCTGTACCCTCTCAAAGTGTGCAAGAATATTTGATGGACCAGGGTGACATGCTATATGACAGCTTCACATATACAGGACACACTATTATTAGCTATCTGAGATATTTCTATGCCAGTTTGAGACAGTCTGAAAATGTAAATGTCCAGGAATATATTTTTTCTAATACCTGTTTTTCAGAATTCTAAACGATTAATCTTCATACTATATACTTTTTAAATTTTCACTAAAAAAAGATGGAGCGCCTGGCTAGGTGATCTAACAAGCTCTTAAGAGCTTGTTGTTACTTTTGATCTCAGGATTGTGAGTTTGAGCTCCATGTTGAGTGTAGAGATTACTTAAAAAAATTTTAAAAATCTTTAAAAATTTTAAAATATTAAAAAATAATATTGTGGGTAAAGATTCTTATAGAATGTAGTACACATTTTACTATCTTCTCAAAAATAATGTCCTTACCTTACCATATGCATGTAGACTACCCAAGAATAATCAGATGAAAGGTATTTTACATTTTCTAGCATAGTTATGCCCTTTTTGTTTGTTTCTGAAATACAAAGAATTTTGTGGAAAATATTATCCACGATTTAGGATGAGGAAAGGATTTACCTTTTTCCTAAGAGTTGTAGCTTTTTTTTTTTTTTTTTTTTTTTTTTTTTTTTTTTGACACGAGGACTAAAATAGCCTATTATTCCTTTATATCCTCACTTTCCTGAAGCTCTTAACCTAAATTCAGGGCATGGCCACAAAATCTTAGGTTATTAAGACAATTTGATTTACACTTCAGTGTTTTATTTATTTATTTGACAGAGAGAGCACAAGCAAGGGGAGCAGGAGAGGGAGGAGCAGACTTCCCACTGAGCAGGGAGCCAAATGTGGGGCTCATTCCTAGGACTCTGGGGATCATGACCTGAGCCGAAGGCAGATGCTTAACCAAATGAACCCCACCCATGAACCCCTGATTATAGCCTTTTTAAGTTAACTTGAAGATATAATTTATATACAATACATTGAGCTATTTAAGTGTACAGTTGATGAGTTTTGAGAAACGCATACTCATGTGACCAACAGCATGATCATCATTCTGTTACCTCAGAAGGGCCCTTTATTCTCTTGCAGTAGATCTTCTCGTAGCCCCCAGCTGTCCACCGATCTGTTCTCTCTTCTAGTAATTTAGTCTTGCCTTTTCTGGACCTTTAGTTGAATGGCATCATACACTGTGTGCTCTTTTTGATCTTGCATGTTCTTGAGATTCACCTGTGTTGGTGGGAGCATCTGTAGTTTAATCCTTTTTGTTGCTGAGTAGTATTCCATTATAAGGAAACACCACTGTTTGTATTTTTACTCTTTCATTAGGCATTTACATCGTCCCCACTTTTTCACTGTTACTTGTTTTTTTACAAGATTTTATTTATTTGACAGAGAGGGAGAGAGAGAGCACAAGCAGGAGGAGCAGCAGGCAGAGGGAGAGACAGAAGCAGACACCCTACTGAGTAGGGAGCCCGACATGGGGCTTGATACCAGGACCCAAGGATAATAACCTTGAGCCAAAAGCAGACACTTAACTGGCTGAACCACCAAGGCTCCCCCTTCACTGTTATTTGTAAAGCTGTCATTTTCCCAAGTGTCTGTATTATTACAGTTAGGAAACTGCTGTGAAACCTCCAGTTACTGCACATCCTCAACTAATATCTAGGATTGTCCTTTTTAATTTCAGCCATTTGAGTGGTTTGTAGTGTCATCTCATTTTGGTTCTATTTTGCATTTGTATAATCACTAAGTTGTTTATTACTGATAACGTGTCAAGTCTTACAGGCTTATGGGCCATTCATATTTCTTTTTGGGAAGTGTCCATATATTTTGCCCATTTTTAATTGGGCTGTTTTTCTTTTTATAATAATGAGTTATGAAGATTCTGAGTATATTCCTTATAAAAGTCTTTTGCTGGATAAATGTACTGTGAACCCTTTTTCTCAGTGTGTCTTTTCTTTATTTTTTTTAAAGATTTATTCATTTATTTATTTATTTACCTGTTTATTTGTTTATTTATGATAGACACACACAGAGAGAGAGAGTCAGAGACACAGGAGGAGGGAGAAGCAGGCTCCATGCTGGGAGCCCGATGCGGGATTCGATCCCGTGCTCCAGGATCACGCCTTGGGCCAAAGGCAGGCGCTAAACTGCTGAGCCACCCAGGGATCCCCTTTATTTTTTTTCTTAATGATATCTTAAAAGGAGCGGAAGTTTTTCATGTTGATAAAAAATTACTCACCTTCAACATCTAGTTACTCCTATTTCACTCACCATTTTTTTTTTTGAGATTTTATTTATTTATTCATGAGACACACACACACAGGGAGAGGCAGAGACACAGGCAGAGGGAGAAGCAGGCTCCATGCAAGGAGCCCGACGTTGGACTTGATTCCAGGTCTCCAGGATCACACCCCGGACTGAAGGCAGCACTAAACCGCTGAGCCACCTGGGCTGCCCTCACCATTGTATTTTTAAGCAAATTTTAGCATCATATTATTACTGTAGATACTTTAATATGCATTCCATGCTTTTAAAAAAACACATGTCATTTTCACACTTTTAAGAATTAACTAAAATAGATTCAAAAGATAACAAAAGTATGTTTACATTTATTTCATTTTTTGTAAATTTGGTAAGCTTTGTTAATTTGTTTTGATCAGGATACAAAGAAGTCCATGTGGTGCATTTGATACATTGTATGAGTCATTTCTATCTTTTTAAAAACTTTTTCCTTTCTTTTTTTTTTTTTAAGAAATTGAGCAGATGGTTTGTACTGTGAAATTTCCCAAATTCTGGATTTGGCTTTTTATTTCCCCCGCTATATCATCTTACATGATTGATATATACTGTAATTGGATCTAGAGGCTTGATTAGGTCAGGTTTAAGTGTGTTTGTTTTGTTTTCTCCCAAGAACTTTCTATTGCATCCTATAAAAGAGGCACATGTTAGATTGTCTTTCTTTGTGATCTTATGATTGATTAGGTGGTTCAGGTATTATCAGCCTAATCCATCCATTATAAAATTCCCTATCATTTATTTTCCTAGTGGGCTTAGCAGCCAAAATGATTGTCAATTTAGGCTTAAATATATTGTGGTAACAGAACCTCCAAAGTCACAGAAGCTCACAACAGCAAAGGTTTATACTGCTTCAAGCTGCATCACCATTGAGGCTTGGCTTTGGCTGTGCAAACTGTCATCTTTAATTCACTCCGTATTGTTTGTACCCAGGATCATAGTTTTTCCTATATGTTATCTTTTCATCCCCTTTCCTCTCATTGCAACCACTACTTGGTAATGAATTTGAAAAAATATAAGGACAGAAAAATATATTAAAATCCTATCTGCAGCATTGGTTGTGAGCAAGGCTTTCCTATGAATGAAGTGTGTTTAGTGTCAGGAAATCTATTGAACAAGGCATATATTATTTCAAGCATACAGAATATGTAGGTACAGAGAATATCATAAATACCTGTATTCCAGTCACCCAGCTGAACCACTTCTTAGTATTGTACCATATTTGCTTCACATTTGGGAAAAATAGTTACTGATAATGCGTAACCCCTCTGGATCCCCTCCTTCTTGATCAGATCA